CCCAGATCAGTAGAGGACCTGTTTTGGGTTGAAGGGCTCTCTACTGCGATTGGAAACACACACCAACTTGAACATCCAGACCAAGAATAAATAATCAATAAACTAATCCTAAACACTCAGCTTTCCTAGGGTGCAAATCTGGCATTTTCTTTTCTTTATAAACACTGTTCTTTGTTGATCTCATTCTATCACATTATCTAAATACCATTTCTGTGATGGTGAACCCAATTTGTAACCCTAGTCTTAACCTCTTTGCTGAGCTTTAGATTTCTGCATTCAAACATACCCACTCTGATACCTAAAAAAGCATTAATAAAACCAAAATAGAAGCTTTGATTTTACCCCCAAATCTACTTTCCCCACCACAATTTCATCTCAATAACCACACTGCCCTGAGGCATTCTGGGACTCCCTAGCCTCTGTCTGTGGTTTATCAGTTATACCCCAAAAGATGTCCTGACTTCACTCACTTTCTCTCTGTACATTACCACCTCCTGACTCACCAGCCACCAGTACCACCAGTACCTGCCTGAACTCCCCCCTCCACTTCCACAGCTAATCTGTTCTTTACTGAGGGAATCATGCCATCCATCTTTAGAATAGATAGAAATCCTGCCATTCTACAATGGCGGCTCACAAACTCAGTGCTCCAGCTCCGACCTGGGCACCCCCCCACTTCCCTGACCTGGATTTTCAGTGCTCTTCCTGTGGATTTTGCTGCTCCAACCACACCCACCCTTTTAGCTTTTACCTCCTATAAGGCCACCCTTACACTCAGAAGATCCTGCCTCCAGATTTGGTGTGTCCCCTTCTTCCAACCACATCTCAAGTCAAATGGCACTTCCCAGAGAGAGCATGCTGATAGCCCAGTCTAAGATAGCACTTTCCCTCTCAGTCACTTTCTGTAAGATCATTCTATTTTATGGTCTTCATAGCATTTACTGCCGCCTGACATTATCTAGTCGTTCATACATTTCCCTTCTCCACCATTAAAATATGTTCACTGAAAACTCCAACCTTGTCGGTGTCTGTCACAACTGCAACCCAAGTTTCCAGAGTGGCACCTGGCATGGAGCAGGCACCCATCAGCTGACTTTTTACATAAACTAGAATGGGGACTTTTAGCCTGGTCCATATAGCCCTGACAGGTCTGTGATGAGAGTCTAGGAGGCTTGTGGACTTAGATGGGAAAATAATTGCACATCTATTTTCACTGACTCCTAACTGAACCCCCAACCAGAGTAACATTAGCAATATATATGACTTTATCTTCAATAGACATCATAGATATGTCACCTTATTTGTCAGATATATGAAAACATTGTTTTTATTCATCGCTACTTCAAAATCACAATAGTTATCAAGCTCACTGCAGGACTGATATTTAATGCATTAAAAAGAAAGTACATAGAATATTATACCATGAAAAAATTTAAAGAATCTTTAAAATGTAATCAAATATTAACAGTGTAAATATTAAATTAATTGGTTTCCATTGTAACACTATATATTTTATTTTATGTTTTAAAAAACATTAGTTCTCAGAACTCCATGGACTGTAGAGCTGCACCATCAAATATGATAGCCACTAGCCCCATAGGCATTTAAAGATTAAAATTAAATTAAATTAAATTTTCAGATCCTTAGAAGTGCTAGTCACATTTCAACTGCTCAGGAAGTTTTATGGGATTGAGAGCTTAATGTTTCATATCTGATTTGCCTTTTTTCTGCCACATTTTGTCCCCCATGCTACGCCCAATATTGTGGACCACATGTTCAAACAGTAGTATTAGGGGTGAGATGGGGGCAAAGTCATTTTCTCTAGATTTTTGCTGTTTTCCTTTCCACGCTTAAACCTCTGCTGCATCTCTAGCCTCTGACCACCCCAACAATTCAGAGCGTAGCCAGGTCAGTGCAGCCAAGACGATACACATGGCCCTGGACCAGTGGGGTTATGTCCCAATGAACCCATTGTAAGTTGAAAATGTCATAAGCTGAACATATTAATGAAAAGAATGCATTTAATGCATCTAACCAAACACCAGGGCTTAGCAACACAGTCCACCGTGGAGCATTGGGAGTGAGCCTCCTGATTGCGTGGCTGACGGGAGTGGGCACACCCAGCACCACCAGCTAGTCTCATATAGCATATTGCTAGCCTGAGACGAGAAGAAGAGTATGGTTTCTACTGAATGTGTATCACTTTTGCAACATCCTAAAGTTAAAAAAATTGTTAGGAAAGCATGATGAGTTGGGGACCATCTGTCCACCTTGGCATCATTCTCAGGTTCCTGTCCTGGCCCAGAATGGACAATGTAATGAGAATAAGCTCAGAATGGGATGACCATAGCCCTGGACTCTGTCTTCTTGAGAGCCCTGCCAGGACCTGTGCTCTGGCCCTGGAAGAAAGAATGGCCAAGTTGTGGGCCCCCTCACCAAATTGGGCCTGCAATGGGTCCCTCAGATCACAGAGTGCTAGGGGGCCAGAAGCAAGGCTGAGTCAGCAGGGACAACCGAGCCCTGACCAAGGCTGCAGCCCTGGTGGCACATTCCAACAGTGAGCTTCCTCCACGCAGCCTGAGCTGATAGCAGCCTACCCACCCTACAAATGTCAGTGGGCCCACTGCCAGGGCCAGAATAACCCAAAGGACCTCCCTCTTCCCCAACAGCCCAAAGTCTTTGAGCCTTCCCAATACCCAGCTCTCATCTTGGAGAAGAGCAAGAAGAAGGGTGTAAACTGGAAAAACTGACTCACCCCAAAGGGATGCTGACTGGAGTAGCCCAAGTCCACCAGACCAGACTAAAGTTCAGTTCCACCAGCACCTCTTATTAGCCAGAAGTGCAGGTGTTAGGGGGCATTTAAGGACATGGATCAGTTATTAAAAGTTAAACTACATTTTTCTTGCACATCTAGTGTAAGCAAAACTGACACTACATTTTAGCCATCCTCAATCGTGCAGACCCCTTGATTGGGCAAGATGTGGCCCAAGGTATCTTCTGGCACTTGATGAACCAGGTTTATTATAAGACCTCCTCAGCAAGGGGAGTGAGGAGTTATTAACTCCTTGAGTAGTATCCCAATGACACTGTACCTGCCTTGTCACATGTAAAGTATGTGTGTGTGTGTGTGTGTGTGTGTGTTCCTGTAACAAGATAAGCCAGTAGTCCCTGATCTTGCAGATTGCCCAGTGCTTCTGGCCAACCCTAACAAATGCATTTCAAAGACCCTACATACTTGCGTCTGCTTCTCCTAAACAGGAGAAGCAAAGCGCTTCATCTGCTGATGCAGGAGGTACAGGTGTAGATAGCCACGGGTCCCTTGTTCTTGACAGAAGTTGTGTGTGTGTGTGTGAGTGTGTGTGTGTGTGTGTGTGTGTGTTTATACTCCACAGATGTGCATATACATCTAGGACATGTAGAAATGGAGTTGTTTGGAGAATAGGATCAGCAAAAAAGTAGAGAACACTGTTTAAAGTGAGGTTTGCTGGCTTGGAACAGACTAGAGAAGTTGAACATTTCACATGAGCTCTTTTCCCCAGCAGAGCACCGCTGACTTTGTTCCCAAGTCTAATTCGGTGGAGCATAAAATCTGCATTTGATTGGCTAGAAGTTTTAATCGTGTGTGTGTGTGTGTGTGTGTGTGTGTGTGTGTGTATTTCTCTGTTTTGTTTTGTACAAGTTGAATAGTGTCCCCTCCACATGCATTCACCAGGAATCTCAGAATATGACCTTACTTGGAAACAGCATTGCTGTACTTTGAATACTTTGATTTGTCCCCTCTGAAATTTGATTGCCACTGAGGTGGTGTTGGGAGGTGGGGCCTTTCAAGGGTGATTAGGTCCCTAAGAGGGAATAATGCTTTTCCCTAGGGAGTGAATGCTCAGTCTCATGAGACTGAATTAGTTACCAGGAGAGCAGATTTTTCAAAGGTGAAGCTGCTCCTTGAGCTTTGTCCCTTCTTCATGTTCTCACTTGCCCTTTCACCTTCTATCATGTTATGACAACTTTAGCAGAAGCTATCATCATGCCCTTGGACTTTGCAGCCTTCAGAACTGTGAGCCAAATAACTATATTTCCAATGACCTAGCCTCAGGTATTTGGCTATATAACAGGGAGAAAAAAAATAACAGTCTAAGACAAGGGTCTTTACAGATACATTTAGTTAAGAGGAGGTCATATGAGTTAATACTTCCTAAATACAATTAGTGTCTTTATTATAAGTGATCAGAAAACACACACACACACACACACACACACACACTTTACATGTGACAAGAGAGGCAGAGACTAGAATGATGCACCTACTAAGCTAGGAATGCCAGCAACCATTAGATGTCTAGGAAGAGGCAAAGAAGGAGTCCTCTCATTTCAGAAAGAGCCTAATCTCAGACTTCCAGCTTTCAGAAATGTGAGACAATATATTTCCGTTGTTTTCAGGCACTCTTGTGGAACTTGGCTACAGTAGTCCTAGGGATCTGATGTATGCTTCAAAGAGGGTGGAATGACCTAACATTGAAAGAAGCCTTGGTTGAACAGGAACATCGATACTTCACTGATAACACCTCAAACCTTCAGAGGGTCAAGTAGGAAAACCTGGAGTAACTGTTACTAAAAACCCCAGGCAGCCGCTGCCCTGTTCCCTAGCTCCCCCACCCAACCCCTAGCCCAAAGAACCCTTTCACCCAAGCACATTATTTCCCCTCTCTAGTTGCTCTTGCAGCTTTCCTGTCAAAGAAGGGCACAGCAGCCCAAGCACAGTCCCTACGGGTCCCCTCCCATCTGACTCGGCCCCTGCCCTCCTGGGGAATGTAACTCCTACTGTCAGCTCTCCAGCTAATCTGATAGCCCCCTGGCTGTTCTTAGAAAATGTTCTTCCTCTCCTTACAGGATGGAGGCGGGGCCTGACGCTCAGCAGGGAAGGGGAGGAGGGTGGCTCTGAACACTCCGGAAACATTTTGAGCTGACCATCATTATCTTTACCATATGCACCAAGAACTTACCTTTTTTTTTTTTCTTTGTAAGAAAATAAGTTGATTACTGAAGCAGCTACACAGAGCTCCGCCAGAGAGAAATCTCTGCACATTCGTTGAGTGACTGTAGCTCACACTTCTTAGGGGTCATTTGCCACTCACCCCTGGGCCATCACAGTTGGCTTGGCTCTAACTGTAGGTCTAGAAAGGGAACCACATGGAGAAAGAGACTCAGGATGAAGTACTTCTAGAGGATTCTTCTCCTCCTTCCTTCCCTCCAAGGTTTTGATACTATCTGAAATAATGGCAATTATGAGCAGTGATAAGCAAATGCATCAAATACACAGTGTTTTCCTAAGAAAACGTTGTTTTACAACCGCTTTCCAATTGGGACATTAGTTAATTGGACTAAAAAGAGAAAAGTTTGAAATGTAGAACATAAACTCTCCTTGGAGGTTTAACAAGAGAGATAAAAAAAAATGTGGATACGAGGAGGGAATTCCTTTTCCTAACGTGATTCATATTATGTTTTTTAAAGAATATTTTTAACTGCCTGACTCCCTTTGTATTTTGTAAGTTTTTATAAAAGGCTGTGGGGACTCAGGACTGGTCTTGGGGAGACAGAGCAATTAGAGACATAAGAATAGCTAGCACAACTTCACATGGAAAATGTCTCAACTGCGGTCGTCACAACATGGTTTGGGAGTATGCCACCTCATTCCACAAGACAAAGAGGGAGAAAATAAGAGTCCTAGGGATACAGAGTTGAATTCCCAAGAAAACATGAAACACATGTGCCGGTGTACACCTTTGAAGATGCCACACTGATCTCAGGCCAAATATTGTTTAGAGAAAGCTGAACTAGCCACCTCCTCTTGAAATGAGAGACATGGCATGAATATTTTTCAGTCAATGAGTTTCAGATTTTACATTTTCCCAAGTTTTCGGCTTCCTTGATTACTCATGCGGAAAGTACTTGAAGGAAATTTCAGAGTTGTTTACTATGATGAACAGACTTTGACGTGCCCCTGTGGTCCTTGCTTCCTGGAATTCACATCCTTGGATAATTCCTTCTCCTTGAGTGTAGTTGGGACCTGTGAGTGACTTGCTTCAACCAATAGGGTGTGGCACAGCTGCTAGGATGGCCTTCCCTGATTCCTTCCTTTTAAGTAGGACTCCATGTAGTCAGTTGACCTACTTTAGAGTCTTGCTCTCCTTGGTGACATGGAGGAATCAAACTTCCATGGGAAGCTGCAAGAAATGAATAATGCCAAGAGAGCTTGGAAGCATGTCACCAACTGAGCCTCCAGATTAGAACTCAGCCCACGGTGACACCTTCATCACAGACTCACAGGACCCAGATAAGCTATGGCTACCAAGTTCCCCCTGACCTATAGGAACAGTTCCTGAGATAGTAAATATGTGTTGCTTTAAATAACTAAGTTTTTAATACTTTATTATACATCAATAATAATAAATTGAACACACTTACCTTAGCTAACTTATTCTTTTGACCCAGGATTCTTGCACTAGGTTTATCTCTCCAACAATTTCAAAACTGGGGATCTTTGATGGCTTCCATGATCAATTTAGACTATGACCATGTACACAAGGACACTCTTTTCTTTGTGGTAGAACTGACAGAGGCCACAGCATCAAAGAGCCATGTGTGAGCAACAGAATCTTCTTGTTCTGCCCGTTTATCAAGCTGGCTTGTGATTTCTAGTAGCAGGTGATTCTTGAACTCCTCCTTAGAATGGAGAGTTGCATGAAAACTTTCTCAAAAATCCAATCTGATTGCTGATGAAACTATAAATTGGTGGAAACTTTCTGGAAGGCATGGCTGCAATATGTACCTAAGCTGTAAATAAGTGCTTGCTCTTTGACCTAGAAATTCCCTTTCTAGAAATTTTTCTCAAGGACACAGTCAGACAAGTATTCCAAGAAGTATGGCAAGGATGTACTGTACCGTATTTTCATAATAGTGAAACATTGAAAATTGAAAATGAAGTGAGTGGACCAAATAAGTAGTAGGTTAAATAACTTAGAGATAAAATGGGAAGCCATGTAGCCATTTAAAATTATGCTGTGAGAGCACTAATCTGCAGGATATATAAAGAACTAATAAAACTTAACACTAAAAAAACAAATAACCCAATCAATAAATGGACTAAGGAACTGAACAGACACATCACAGAAGAAATATAATTGTTCAACAAATATATGAAAAAGTGTTCAACATCTCTAGCAATTAGAGAAATACAAATCAAAACTACTCTAAGATTTCATCTCACTCCCGTCAGAGGGTCAATTATCAAGAATACAAGCAATAATAAGTGTTGGTGAGGATGTTGGGAAAAAGGCACACTAATACATTGTTGGTGGGAATGCAAATTGGTGCAACCACTATGGAAAGCAGTATGGAGATTACTCAGAAAACTTGGAATGGAACTACCATTTGACCCAGCTATCCCACTGCTCAGTTTATACCCAAAGGACTTAAAATCAGCATACTACAGTGACACAGCCACATCAATGTTTATAGCAGCTCAATTCATAATAGCTAAACTATGAAACTAACCTAGGTGTCCTTCAACAATGAATGGATTTAGAAAAAGTGGTACATATACACAATGGAATATTACTAAGCCTTAAATAAGAATGAAATGATGACATTTGCAGATAAATGGATGGAACTAGAGAATATCATGCTAAGTGAAATAATCCAATCCCCCCAAAATAAAACTGAATGTTTTCTCTGATAAGCAAAATGCTGATCCATAGTGGGGAGGGGGATAGGGATTAATGAAGGAACTTTGGTTTGTGTAGAGGGAAGTGAGAAGAGGAGTGGGGATATGAAGGACCATAGAAAAAGACAGACATTATTACCCTATATACATGTATGATTACGCTACTGGCGTGACTCTGAACTATGTACAGACAGAGGAATGAGAAGTCGTGCTCCAGTTGTATACTACATGTCAAAATGCATTCTACTGTAAAAACAAACAAACAAACAAATAAATAAAATTATGCTGTGAATGTATAATTTTGGGTTACAGCAGCATGTAAGCAAAAAGAAAAGTATATATAAGAGAATATGATATGTCTCCATTTATGGATGTGTATATAAAATATAAATACATATTGAAATAAAATGATGCACATCCAAATGTTAATAGTATAGGAGCATCAAAATTATGGATGATGTTTTTGTTTATTTCCTGGTTATAATTTACAATATTTCTACAATGAGCACGCACAATTTGTTCAATTTCAAAAATTCACAATGTTGTGTATGTGTGTTTGTTTTATTAATTTATTACTTCTTCATTTTTTACAGCTGCCTATTTCTGATTACTGATCTCTAGGTGGGCTGGGTCTTGCTATTGGTCTAGAGACCTTATAGACCTTGCTGCCTGACCTTGAGAACACCATCTTGGCATCCTAGGTCTGCATCCTCCCACTTCCATCCCCCTGAGAGTTTGCCACATGTATGGATATCCAGCTGTCAACCCCTCTCTGCCCAAGCTCACTCAACTGACTCATACTTCAACCACCACACTAGCTTAGAAAGATGTATTTTTACCACGGCAATGTGTTCATATCAGTCCCAAATGCTATGCAACAGATCCAACCTTAGTCACCCAACCCTAGCCCGGTGCTGAATGTTGGTGACAGAGATAGCTTTATAAAAAGTTTAAAATGCTCAAGAAGCAGAAGGCTGTGAAAAAAACAATTGTTTGTTCTACAAACACATACCACTATTCTCTGTGAAAAAATTCTAAAAAAGCACATGTTGTGCCTTTTTACTATTCATTTAGAAAATGAAATTATACTGTTTAATGCACTTTTGGTTTTGTTCTTTTTTTTTTTTCTCCTGGATTCTTCCTTGAGGTACTGTAAGAGTGAGACACGCAGACAGCGTGGGAGAGATGGGTTAGGATGATCCAGGAAAAGAGCTGTGGAGTAAAGGAGCCTGGGAATTTGCAGTGCTCAGGTGACTACAAGAAGCCAGTTGCTTGGTCTGGTGCCCCAATGTGCTCCCCATTAGTAAAAAAGGAATGAAGAAGGGTTTGAGAAGACTAGAGACAACACAGAGAGGGATCAGGGTGAAGAATAAAGAAAAAGACAGTAAATGGAGGCGCTATAAATCTGGAGTCATTGGAGAGTCACTAACTAGGAATGCTTTTAAGGGCAGAAAAGGAGCAGGAAGCCCTAGAGCAGGGATTTCCTTTCTCCCCGCCTTTGTTCACAAATGGGCACCTTTGGCAGGAGGTCAAAAGCACCGCCCGTCATTCTTGTTGAAATGGCATATAGGTCTGAAATTACAGAGACACTGGTTTGAAGAGAGAGTGGGGAGGGGAGTCAGAAAAGAGAAAACATTGGGTCCATTTCCAGGTGGTAGCTTGGTCTGGGCAAGGAAGAAAAGGTCAGGAGAAGGCAGGAATGATTCCATGACATGATAGTGAGACCTTCTCCCTTTGTTGATTACATGGAAAGAAGAACATAAGGGAAGTGAACACCTCACTCAGCCACTTTTGCCACCCCTCCCCAAACATGGAAATTGTTGAACAATCAATCTTTACCAAAAGAAGGCAGATAGCAGGACAAGCTTGAGGTCAAGGCTCATGGGGACTGTACCAAAGTCCGAACATTAGATGGTTTGTCCCCATCTCCTTGTTGACAGCACCTCCTTGCTATTCCAGTATTCTGCTCTGCTTGTCTCAGCTACTCCTACTACCATGACTGATATGCTCTCTGGATCCTGAGTTCAAATTCAATTCCCAAGACAGAATTTGAGTGGTTCAATAAGTTACTCTTGCCACCAATGGGCAGTGCCTATGTGTTAGACAACCACATGGCCACCAGTTATAGATTGCCTTTGATTCACATGCTTCCCCTTGTCCAATCAGTAGGATCATGTGGCACAGAACATTGCCAATCATTCTCAAAGAACCACATGGAGCTGCTTGCTCCAGCAAAGGACTGTGAGCATAGGAGGATCCTAGACTGTAACAGTTGTGAAGAACCGTGAAGGAGCTGAGATTTTACCCTACTTGCAAGCAGATGAGTTAGCCTCTCACAGTTTCATGGGTAAGATAGAAGACACGAAACTCCTGGGTCAGAGACAAAGGGCAGCTTATTACTTCCAGTGGTCGCAGCAGCTAGAGTATTAGCATTTGTCAGCTCCCTGACTC